CGGTGCGCCTACCCTGCTTCTCTCTACACTGCAGCCACAGTCCTGGCTCGGCGTATCCATGCCGTCTTTGTGGGCTTTCTTAGAGGCACGGAGGGATGTGCGGTCAGTCCGCCCAGCGACTCAGCTCGCGACTCAGCTCAAGAACAAATGTATCTTCTCAGACTGGGGCTCCCTGAGGACAGGGCCCTGTCTCCCCTCAGGCTGGGGCTCCCTGAGGGCGGAATCTTTTCCCATCTCTGACAGCTTCTAACCTAAACATTTTAAAGTCTCCCAGATGGGATGCTGTTGCCCTTAGGCTTTCTCCCTTATCACCAGCCAGGAGTTCTCATTTCAGCACCCCCCCCGCCCCGCTTTCTCCCTTTGCTGGGGCCTTGGAGACTTCTGACCTCAGCACCAAGTTATGGTCATTCTGTCGCTGCCACTGAATTGGAAATGGTTCCTTGGGGGAGAGTGGAGAGGCATAAAGCTCTCAGCTCTGCTTCCCTGGTCTTGATTTGAGGAACAAAAGAAGCCAATTTCCAGGCTGCCAAACGGTCAACTGAAGGGTTTTATGCTCTTTTGGGGAAAAAATACATTTGCCTGTTGGAAAAAATTTATCTTTGAGCTCTCCTTCTATCTTGGAAAAGATAGAAGGTAGAGAAAAAGCCCTCAGGGTCTGGTCTGTCTGTGCCTTTGTGGTTCAGGCCCTGCTTGAGGACCTGGTTTCCTGCCCCTCAGGTTCTTACTGGCTGTGTGACTGGGGGCAAGTCCGTTACCCTCTCTGAGCCTCAGAGTCCTTAGTGATCAGGTGAGGATCACGTAAGAGCCTTCCCATGCTCACGTGTGTGTGTTGTTGCAGTGGGAGGAGCTGAGGCCCTAAGACCCGGTGTCCTAATGTGTGGTATCTGGACTGGACTGCCGTTGTTGGAAACTCTGTGTGTGTGTGTGCGTGCGTGTGTGTGTGTGTGTGTGTGTGTGTGTGTGTGTAGCTTGCTTAAACATGTCTCCTGGGTCCCTGTCCAGACCTACAAAATCAGACTCCAGGAATGGGGCCCAAGAATCTGCCTTCTTACAAGTGGGAGAAGGGGCAAGTCCCAAGAAGTTGAGAGGCCCATTGCTCATGGGGTGAAGCCACCATCTCAAGGCCAGGAGGACAGGCTTAATGGGCCCTGACGTGTCTGTCAGGTCAGGCAGTTGGGGTGAGGCACAGGTGGGGCAAGGGTGGATGAAGTGAGGGGTCAGAGAGAGGTGTGGGGTGCAGGGGCCTAGGCAGAGGGGCAGGAGGTCCTCAAGTGAGGCCAAGGGCAAGCCTGGGGCTGGAGTGAGGGAGCTGCCCTCAGCCAGTGGGGGCGTTCAACACACACTTCACAACAGGGGGCTGTGAATGTGTATGGAGGGGGTGGGCTTCCTTGGAACGGTGAGGGTAGAGGTGGCTATGTCACCTATCCTATCTCTCCTTTGTCACCAAGTGAACCTGAGCACCCACCATGGGAGCGACTGCTCTGCTCAGCACCTGGGCCGTGACCATTGACCCATTGGACAAGCCTCACTGTGTCCAGGTGCTCCAGAGCGGTCCTGAGGGAGCAACTGCTTTTAGCCCCACTTTACAGATGGGAAAACTGAGGCACAGGAATGCCAGTAACTTGTCCAGATCTGGGATGTGGAGCCAGCATGTCTGACTGTAGCTCATGCATTTAACCATTAGGCTCTCCGGCTAAGAGGAAGTATCAGGGCTTGCCCTGCCCATGACCAGACGCCATGCCAGTGAGGAGACAAGGCCTCGCTCACCCATTTGGCCATTGCTTTGGTCTGCCTTCATCCACCCAATTTGCCAGGCCCCTGCTCTGCGTCAGGGACCGGGCTGGCCCGAGGCAGAGGCGGGGTCCCTGTCTTGGAGGAGCACACCGCCGGAGGGAGAGACAGACACACCCCTGCCTTTGCAGCCCAGGGTGTGCTGAGTGCGGGTCAGAGGGTTGTTCACTACAGGCCAGAGAGAGCTCAGGGGAGGGGAGAGGAAATGGCTGTTGGGCAGTGTCTGTCCAGGAAAGGCAAAATCGAGGAGGAAGGATAGGAGTGGGTCTGGAAGGACGTAAGCATGGTCTCAGCAGTGTGGAGGGAGGAGGGCTGGCATTGCCCTTGGGTACGTTGCCAGGATGACCCATGCTCCAGGGCACAGTGAGAGTCCTGAGGTCGCTGGGCAGGGAGCCACCAAAGCTCGGTGTCTGCATTCTATTTCTTAGTCCAGCTGTGTGCCTCTTGCCCATCTGGGAGGGGAGGCAGAGCTGAGGAAAGCCTGACAGCTTCTCATTGAACATAAGGCACTCCCCGCCTTTCGTCCCTCCCTCCCTCACACACACTCACACACACCACACCCCCGTAGGCTGAAAAGGCTGAAATCCAGGATCTCGCACTCTTTGATACTAGCCTAGACATGACTAAACCTGAGTTCCAGACCCATTCTTGGAAGGGACCCAGACCTTGGAGAAGTCACTTCCCTTCTCTCTGAGCTTCACATTCCTGATTTAAAAGGGATTGAAAACAGCGACCTCTGAGGTCCCGTCCAGCTTGGCCATTCTAGGTTTTTATGTAATTATAGAATTTCATTATAGCATTCAGAGAGAAACTGCAGCACTTGCTATAGTAGAGAAGCTCTGCCCCCAACCCTTTTTCTTCCTTTCTAGCTCCTCACCATGTCTCAGTTTCCACCACCGTAGTCATCTCTGGTGTTAAGGCATTTGGCCCTTTGTTTAAATCAAGACGGGTGCTCCTGCCTCCAAACTTAGCACACCCCGGGAGGGGGATGTCAACCCAGGTACAAGCCTGCCCACCTGGGTGTGGATGGACATACATTAAGTGGTGCCTCACCTGTAGCTCCTGCTGCCTAATTTTCAGAGCTGCCTCACGTAGCATTTCCCCTGGTGCTCTCTGCCGTGGGCTGGGAGGTTAATCAGATGGTTTCCAACGTGGCAGCAGGCTGGGAGCAGGTCTGGTGGAGGGGTGGTGGGAACCAGCAGAGGAATTGTATGCCTGTGGCGTCATGGAGAGCTAGCTGGGGGTGGCCGCCTTTAGGAGAGACCCCCGAATGAAGAGACTGGAGTGGAGGATGGGGATTCGGGGATCTCTTTCTCAGAGACATCTCTGGGAATCTGCTCGAGGACTGGAGCTGGGTGCCTCATGAGCACAATCTGGGACCTCCCCAGGCAGCAGGGGATGATGCCATGTGCTGGCGCCAGGTTGCTACTGCATCTGTCTATCTGTCCATTGGTCTTTGGCTTCTAAGTCAGGACAGGGGTTATAGGGGACTGAGCTGAGTGTGGGGTCAAGTTGCACAGACAAGCTGTCAGTCCTGATGGCTTTGATGATGGTGACTTAGGGTAAGGCCTCCTTCTAGATCTTTCTTGCTCTACCAGTACTTGCTGGGGGGAGTGGCCACTACCTGGGCCTCATTCTCCTCCTCAGGAGAAGGTGGCGCACATGACCCCAAATGTCCATCCAGCTCTGACATTTGGAGTTGGCTGTCAGGAAGTCACAAAGACCCATGTGGATCATTTCTCCTCTCTGAGAAAGGGGATCAAGGGGCACAAGGGCCCATGGGGGAATGTGGGAGTGGAGAGGGGAGAGGTAAGATGACCCCCGGGGCCAGCTGGGAGGGAGGCGCAGCAAGGCTGAGCTGGCTGGCCAGGTCAGAGCTTAACTTTAGGGCAGTGAAGAAAGGGTGAGGGGTGGAGCTTGAGCAGGCAGGAGGGGCTCATAGGGAGCTCCTTCAGGGATGGGGCATGTTGGGGAGCCTTTGCCCAGTCAACACGGGTCTTCAGTGAGCAGGTTCCCTGCGGTTCTGTCCCATTGGGCCCCTCTGGGAGACTGGAGCATGCCTCAGGGGGTGGGAGTGGGGAGGGGAGTGAGGAAGTGCTATTTATCCCCAACTCCTGCCTGTCATTGGTTGAGGGCTGCCCTCTGAGTGTAAACTGTAAACCGCCTGCCAAAGAAAGCCCTGGGAAGAGAGAAGCAGAAGAAACCATAGGTGTATATAGGAATGGGGAGGGCTGAGGAGATGGCACAGAGCATCAACAGCCTTCCAGGCTGGCACTATTGCTGTATTGTACAGATGAGGAAAAGGAGGCTCAGGAAGCTTGAGTCATTTCCTGTGTTGCTTCCTGCCAGCAGCAGGTCACTGAAGGATGAGAAATAGCAGTCGTGCAGAACAAACCATTGTCTGATTTCCCTGTGCCTCCACTTCCACATCTGTAAGGTGGGATGATGCCTGCTCAGCACTGACCTTGTAGGGCAGGGTGAGAATTGGGAGCTCATATTTGCAGAACACTGGGCACAGTGCCTGATCCGTTGCTGCGGTTCAAAGAGCAGGAGATGTGACTGCACAGAGGTAAGGCACCAGGGTCGCACTTGTTAAAGACCTCTCAGTGCCCCAAGGCTGTGACCATCATCTTTCCGTATGCCTTCAAGTTTGTTTACCAGGGCCATTTGTTAGCTGTGGCCTTGACCACAGGAGGACCCTGTTCAAAAGAGTCTGCATCCACAGGAGGTGCAATTCATTAATCCATCAGCACAGACGAGACACAGAATAAACTGGCTGTAAGTAGAGCCGCGGCTGAAAGAATGGGACACTGGATGGGTGTACATTTTGATGGCTTGATTTTATTTTCTGAGAGACAGACATATGGAAAAGAGGAGTTTCTAGAACAGGTTAAGACATTGGGCAGATTGAGATTTGGCCCAAGAGTGAAGGGCTGAGGGACCCAGAGTACCAGAGTGAATGCGGTGATGGTGGGGGTGGTGGGTAGAGAGCCACACTCCTTAGGAAGCTGAGCCGAAGACCCCCCAGTGCCCGTCCTGTAGGCTTTAATGAGCCGGATAAATGGTGCAGGAGGAGCCTCCTGCTCTTCCTGTGTTGTCTGCGGCCAGGCTGGAGGCAGCAGCCTCCAGGTCTCAGTAGTGGCCTGGATCCTCCCTGATCCTCCTCTCCTAGGCTCTGCTAATTCCTCTTCTCTCCCGCTTTCTTTCAGGAACCTTTTGGATAAAGACATGTTCTCCAAGTCTGACCCATGTAAGTCCTGCTCTGACAATAATAACAGTAACAACATTGGGACTGATTGCAGCAGCCAACACTTGAGCCCTTACTGAGCATTCAGTACGTGCCCAGCTCTGCTCCAGGTGCACCAAGGCTCTTTCACCAATACTTTCTGGAGAAAGAACTGGGCTGTCTGACCCTTCCCAAGCCCTGTACTTGTGAAGCCTCAACACAACCAAGTGGGTTGGGATGGGTCAGGGTGACTGGGCCTGAAGTTTTCAGTCCCAGGAAAACCAGTATATTTGAAAGCCCCATTTGGCTGTGGTCTGGGGGAAGGAACACTGATTTGAGAGTCACAGTTCTAGCCCAGAGAAATGCTACTCAAGTATATGACCTCAGACAGATCATTGGCCTCCTCTGAGCCTCAGTTGACCATCAGTGGAGGGGCTGATGATAGTAATAGGTCTTCCCAGGCTGCCTTGAGCCCTAAAGGCATGACCTGATTTTCAGATCGTGCCCACCTACCCAGCCGCCTCATACTTCTCCGTTGCTCAGGCCTAGACGCGAATGGCCCTGACCCCCTTCCCAAAAGGTACTCCTCCCAGACAGGGAGATGTTCTAGGCCCCATTCTCCAAGCTGGCCAATCGCCCTAGACCCAACACTGCTACCCAGACCTGAGTCTCCTGAGTGTCCTGACCCTCCAGGGCACCCCCACTCTGGGGAACCACCTTCCTCTTAGCCTGTCTGGCGTGTTAACACGTTTTTCCTCCTCTCCTCACAGTATGCGTCATGTATACTCAAGGAATGGAGAACAAGCAGTGGAGGGAGGTAGGTCAGCCCCTTTCCCACCATAGAAACACCAGCCTATCCCTGATTGTAGTCTGCTTATTCATTTAACTCTGGAGATATCCCACCTGATGTTTGTAACTGCAACGTCTGAGCCCAAGGGAAGGATGGTAAGGTGTGCAGAGGGTAGAGTCTTGCCCTGCTGTTGCAGGGAGAAACTAATGGTGGACTGGAAAGTTCCTGTCCTCAGGAAGCCCTGGTCTGAGGGAGACACGGCCCTGCCCTAGGGGAGCGCCAGTTTAAGGGGAGACACGGCCCTGCTCCCAGGGAGCCCCAGTCTGAGGGGAGACTGGTGAAGCGCTGGCCCACCAGAGACCTCCATAGCCTGAGAAACATGAGTACCGCATGTAGCATCTTGTCTCACCCACAGTGGCCATCCCATGTTTCTGACTAATGTGAACATTCAGTTAGGTAAACCCCCTGCCCAGGAAACTTCAGAGACTCTTCTCTGCTTTGAATTGGTCCCAACTCCTCAGCTTGCCTTCTCATTCTATGAGGGCACAGGACAGGCTGCAGGTGTCTGAATCAGGGTGCTAGACCCCAGTGCAGCGGGGGTGTCTACTTGGGGGGCCAGAGTGAGAACAGCCAGTGAAGCTTCATTAACTCAGGCTTCAGCACTGCCCCTCATTAGCCTCAGGGGTGGACTGGCCAGAGCCTCTCCTGCCCTGTTCCCTGTTCCCCCAAGGTGTGGCCCGGAGCAAGTGGCAAGAGGGGGTGAATTTTATCCATAAAATACATAGGAAATACTTGCACATAGGCTGGGCTAAAGTTTACTTTTTTCACTTTCCAAGACTCTACACCAACTGAAGCGCAAACCAGATTGCAGGGGAAACATTTAGCCTATTTAAATGAACTAATTACTTTTGAGGCCTTTGGCCAAGCTTCATAGAAAGCAAGAATGTGCTAATGCCTTAGTGATTCATTCAGGAAAGTGTGGAGAGGGCTCTTCAGAAGGACACTGCTCTACTGGTGGTTACATTCTGTAATGGAGACTTGTTTCCGTTTGGGTCAGCTTCCCGGATTGTTACCGCGGCACCTGCAGCGTGGGGGAGAAGAAAGGGGGAGGTCTCGCCTTCAGACACGCCTGTGCTTCAATTCTGGCTCCAGCTCTTTCTGGAGGTGGGACCTGGGGCAAGTTGCTTAACTTGCCTGTGCCTCAGTTTACACATACGTAATATGGGGATAGGACCTACCTTGCAGGCCTGTGGTGGGTGTAACGTGCCTGGTACGTAGTCATTGGTTGGTGAATGTCACAGTACAGCATCATCCTGAGTGTTCAGGGCCTTGCTGGCCACAACTCCATTTCAGTCAATATTTGCAGCAGGGAGCATTTATGGGGTGCTGGGCAACAAGCCAGGTGCAGGTGACGGGGAGAGAGGAGCTGGGCAGAAGGACAGGCTTCACCCAAACACCAGCTGGAACTCAGGAGTGTACAGCCTAGAAGGGGAGATTCGCGTGCATGAATAATCCTAACAGGAAATGGTGAGAGGTATCCACGAGAAGAGAATGGGAGTTCAGAGGAGAGAAAGTTACAGCCATGTTAATAGCTCATTGGAGTTTCAAAAATGGAATTTGACTAAACACAAGCCATCTGGCTAAGGGGTGCACGCTGTGGAGGACAGGAGGATATGGGTCAGAGGGAATTTCAGGGATCGTCCGACTCAACCTTCTCATTCTATGAGGGCACAGGACAGGCTGCAGGTGTCTGAATCAGGGTGCTAGACCCCAGTGCAGCGGGGGTGTCTACTTGGGGGACACAGCACAGGGAGATCATAAGTGAAGATGCTGTCTGAAATGATGAACCAGCCATCTTTTGTATCCTTTTTAGGCAAAGGAACAATAGATTTGCGAAGAAAAGACAGGACAAAGCAAAGACATTTTAGTTCGGGTGCTCATTACTGAGGAATCTAAACAAAGTTTGGGCTTGGGTAGTAAATTAGTAAAGGAGTGACAAGCTTTGCTTAGACAAGCTTTTTGGCCCTGGACTCTTTAACTCTAGAGATAACGGTGTCTCTCTTAGCCGGCCTGCAGCGAGGAGAACATCTTCCACAGCGGAGACTTATTTCCCGCATTCAGGGGAACAAGGACGGATCAATGTGCCCCTCTGGCACTGGCTTCCAAGTAGCTAATTCCAAGTAATTGACATGTTACTGTGTGATATTTGGGGGTGGCCTGCTCTGGGCCCCGACAATACCCCTAGAACACAGGCTTCAAGCTATTTTGGAGAAGAGAAGATGCACTCAAACATATTGAGGTCCTCCTTGTGCCCAGTTCGTGTGTGATGCCCAGGAGAAAGTATCAGGAATAGAGAATTTAAAGAAAAATCCAGATCTATCTTTATGGAACTGGCCCTGGGATGGAAGGCTGCCTTTACCAGTGAACAGAAACCCGTTAGCACCATTCCACTTGCTAGCTCATTGCAAAACATCTGTCAATGGAATCTCGACTTCCTATGACCAGAGGGAGTCCAGTTCCGGCCCAGCAGTTCCTCCAGGCAGTGCCCAGACCCCAGGTTTGCACAAGTCTGCAGAGGATGAAAGCTGTTCTCATAGCCTCTGGCTGCTGGGTTTCAGCTGATTTTAACTATTTAGGTCATTTTAATGTATTCTGAGAAAGCTCCATCTTCCCAGAACCTGAAACTGTCACTACATTTTATGAAAATTGACTCAAGATGTGATTTTAACCGAGGAAATCAAGCACTATTTGCATCGAGTCTTGCCAGGGCCTTCTGCATGTCCCAGGGGGAGGTAGGATGACTAGGTCGGAAGGGTCCCAGGAACACTCTTAGCGGGAAGAGGGACATAATAGGGAGCACCTCCAGGTTTCCCATTTGAAAAGTGTGTGGGAGGGGGGCGGTGATCCTTGCCCATCCCTTGCCAGGTGGCTGCCCTGGCCGAGGGCCCCTTAGTGAGGAGGAGAGGGTTATTCCAAATCTTAGGATATCCCTCTGATTGAGCCATATCACCTGCAGACTACGTGGCCCCAACCGGTGTGCCCACACGTCCCTGCCACAGCGTTCAGTCTATTTCTGAGCAACCTCAGCCTATTGAACATTTTAACACCAGCTGGGGATGATAGTTCATCACTAAATATTTGGAATAACACTATCAGAGCACCTTGTATGTGCCTTCACATAACTTTGACTCAATGAGCATGTGTCAGGGAGAATGCTGGGGACACAAAGTACCAGACACTGTTCACAACCAGTAGAGCTCACTTTCAATTCAGGGAGGTAACGATAACGGCCATAGTAATGTTGACAGCATACACTTATAGAACAGTAACGTGCCAGGTTCTGTTCTGAGCATTTACATACAGTAGCTCATGCAATCCTCACAACCGCCCAATGAAGGATGTATTATTATTATTTGTTTTATTATTGTTGGCCCCATTTCACGGAGTAGGAAACTGAAGCACAGAGAGGTTAATGGGAAAGTGTTTTCTAAAACATGACGTTGTAAAAGCTGCAACGGTTATATAGAAAGGGCAAAATTCCACTTGTTCTTAATTCTGCCATCCTTAGACATAAAAAGTAAGTTTATTTTCTCTTTTACATGGTCTTTTCCTCATTATTTGAAGTCTGCTCACAGGGCCCTGTTAGCCTGCTTTGGGGTAGACTTAGAGTGTGACCATTTCTATCAGTAGTTCCTGTTTCTGTCACTGTCTCTTGTCCCTTTACAAGCCAGGCACAGCCCCTTGGATACACATACGTTCTTCAGAGTTCTTCCTCAAGGGTGTGTCCTGTGCCATCCACTTGCCCAGCCCAGAGCATCATGGCCCCGCGTCCTCCTCACAGGGGCCTGAGCTAGACAATCAGCTCCTCCCCGGGTCTGCTGCATTCTGTGGGTCTGTTTCTCAGCATTGTACATCTGTGCTATCTCGCGTTCCACTGGCCTTTGTGACAGTTCTCTTCAACTTTCTTCGTATTGAGTTTGGAGGCTTCTGTGTCTTTCTCACATGAGCTGCTCTTCACAAGGATTCTCTCAGCTCAGACTTGGAAATTGAGTTTTTGAATCTAAATGCAATTTTATATTTATCTCCATTATGGCCATTTGGTAGATTCGGTCCACTGTATGGTCTGTGAAGATCACGTTGAATTACAGTTGTGCATTCAGCCCCCTGGTTCTGTCTCCTGGTCCTGGGCCGGCTGTCATTGTCATCCGCTTGAATGATGAGCAGCTAAATGGGCTGGAGGGCTGTGGTCCTCCAATAGAGGCCTTTCCTCCGATTGACCTCAGTTCTCTAGTTGACCTTTGGGGTATGCTGTTCAGCCACCTAGAATCTACGTAACCTGTTATAACCCACCCCATATTTCTCCACCTGGTCCCCAAGGACACCATGCATAACAGTCAAATGCCTTGTCAGATGAGGCCCTGAACTTGATGTCCAAAACCCTGCACATTCCCATCCCAGTTCTGATATTTACTATGTGACCTGGGTGAGGTATATACTTTCTCCAAGTCTCAGCTTACTCACCTGTAAAGTGGAATTAGGAGACCTTCTTGGGAAGACTAAATAAGTTAATGCTTTGAAAATGCCTGGATATATCCATTGCTATGTGACATTGCCCAGTTTGAGTATTTGGGCACTCCGTCTCTGTGGAAATGGCCACACTTGGAGGTCCTGTGACCTAAACCACGTCTATCCTCATAAGGAGTGCAGAGTGACAGCCAACATTCCTGAATGCTCAGGTTTCCTGTAAAGCCTGAGTCCCCTGCTCAGCCTGGGGCTGCAGCACCTGGAGTCCAAGGAGTCAGGGCTTTCAGAAAGAGAGGGGCTTGAAGGGAAGTATCCCAAGCCTGTGTGGGAAGGGTCTCTCATGAGGGGCTCTTGTAGGAAAAGCTGGACCCAGGGATACCATCATCACTGTGTTGTGCCCAACAGGGCATTGCACCTTGGCACACCGGCTGCCAGATGGTGGTCGCTGATAGCGTGGGGTCCCTGCCTCTCTGGAGTGTTTGTCCCCTCCTGGTGCTGCCTGG